TTACTCAGCTGCCAACATGGTAAACGTTTATTTCAGGGTTTCAAAAGTAGCATCACTTTTTGCTGGGATCATTTCACCAGCATCAATGACAGCAACACCTAATTAGACAAACGGGACAAAAAGCCCGTGGCTGTAACGCAGAAACCCTGGGCAGGTTCTTGGAAGGAGCCCCAAAGAGCTGGAAGGGGGGACCCTTCTCTGCAGACTGGGACCCCTGACATGGGCGTCCTGGAATCCCAGATTCCCGGACTGGTTTGGGTTAGAGAGGAGGATGTCTGTGGAATAGGCGTTTTTAAACTGGTTTTTTTTACTTCTTATTTTTTAGCCGGCTGCTCCTCTGAGCCCCGGGGACCCCCAGACCCACTCCCCACACCCTCAGGATCCCTAGATCCGCTCCCCACACCCCGGGATCCCAAAACCTGCTCCCCTGAGCCCCAGGGAGCCCCAAACCCGCTCCCCACACCCCGGGACTCCCAAACCCACTCCCCACACCCCGGCACCCCCAAACCCGCTCCTCACACCCTGAGGACCCCCAAACCCGCTCCTCACACCCCGGGACCCCCAGACCTGCTCCCCACACCCTCAGCACCCCCAGACCCGCTCCCCACACCCCTGGCCTGGCTAAAGGCAGAAACGACTCAAAGGGCCACCTGGCCTCAAACTCCCCTCTTTCAAATGCAAACCTTTCCCGTCCAAGGAGTCACAAGAATACAAACTTGCATCCTGACACATTGGCATCTGCTTTTCCCTGTCCCCCTCCGGCAGAAGCGCCGCTGGCCGGGGCTCGGAGCCCGAGGGGTCGCTCCCAGTCCTCCCCAGTGCCCGCAGCGCCTCCCCCAGCAGGGAGGGAGCGGAGAGACCCGGGGAGAGCTCTGGGGCTGGGGGGAGCAGGGACGGGCTGGGCCGGGAGGGACCCCAAAGCTCGGCCGGTGCCACCCCTGCCATGGCCAGGGACACCTTCCACCAGCCCAGCTCGCTCCAAGCCCCGGCCAGCCCGGCCTTGGGCACTGCCAGGGATCCAGGGGCAGCCACGCAATCTGGGGCAGGTTTTCCAGGAAGGCTTTGGCGTTGGGAACAGCTTGTGCAGAATTCCCCTATTCCAGTCCTCAAGTTGCTGAGAAGGACTTAAGAATGAATGTACTGTCCATTTACATCACATCGAACTATCCCTCAGTAAAATAGTCCTACTGGAAGTTGGCTGCTTTGGGGTTTTTAAAGCCTTTGTAATAATGAATCATTATGCATCAGGCCGCACTGTTTCTCCTAAGACAAGGTCACCTTATTTCAGTTGCTCTGAACGTCTTGTTTCCTCATCACCCCGGGTGAAATAATTCTACTTACAGACATTTTCCAGTTAGGCCAAAGTGCTTCAAAGGTGTCCCCTGGGTGAGGAATTGGGCAGTTGCAGCCTCGGTCACCACGGGGGCCCTGCCGGGTTTGGGCTGGGCAGTGTGGGACACACAGGAGACCGTGGTTGTGCCAGGGAGATGAGGCAAGAATGAATCCAGGGGTTTTAATGTTTCCCTGCGTGCTGTCCCATTCCTGAGAGGTGCTGGACAATTGGGAGACGGGTCAGGAAATCTGGACATGAGCCTCTCTTCCCTCTGGCCCCGATCTCTGCTCGCTGGGAGCAGGGACAGGACCCAGGGAAGGGCTGGAGCTGGGACAGGGAAGGCTCAGGGGGGATCTCAGGACAAGGTTCTTCCCCCAGAGGGTGGTGGGCACTGCCCAGGCTCCCCAGGGCAGTGGGCACGGCCCCAAGGCTGCCAGAGCTCCAGGAGGGTTTGGACAACGCTCTGAGGGACAGGGGGGGATTTATAGTTAGAGTTATTTAATCATTAATATTATTAATATAATGACATATTTTCTTAATTATTAAAACAAACTAAGTGTGGACATTCCTGTGTTAGTTCTGGGCCTACTCTAAAAGCACAGGTCAGTGGCTTTGGGACAGAGGGGAAGGGTGAAAGGGAAGAGAGAAAGGAAGAGATGAGTTAAAGAGGAAGAGAGAGAGAGAGAAAGAAAGAGAAAAAGAGATCATCCGTTCTGGTTCCAGTGCCAGTGCAGCTCATGGGAGGTCAGTCTGGAATCCAGTGTCGATCCAGCTGATGGGATGTCAGTCCTTGTTCCAGCATCAATCCAGCTGAAGGGTTGTCCAGGGTCCTGGATTTGCTGGGGGGACCTTTTCATGGACAGGGTTCCCTCCACTCCGAAGGTGGATTCCTCACTTCTGTGCAAATTTCTCACATGTGTGCAAATCACTGGTGGTGGAATCATTTGCATGTGCAGCTGCTGGTGGAATCGAAGCTTTAACTGGGTGAGTTCTGCCTTGAGTTCTTCACACACAGGCCATTGGATTTTTTTTCCACTTCTCGTAGTTCAATCTGGCAATGAAATAAAAAAGAGCTTGAAAACCATACAACACATTGTGTATCAGAACTGCTACGAAACAGGCAGTAAACCCCAGAAACAACTGAACTGTTAGCTGGAAGGATGGAACTGTTTTAACAACGTACCTGGCTTTTGTGTCTGTCCCTCTCAGTGCTGCTCAGCCGTTCACTGTCGGATTCTAAAGCAGCTGCGCTGCACAGATATTTGTTTCAAACCGCGTTTAGTGTTTCTCTGAGCACCATTAAAAACTCCCACTCCATAACGAGAAAGGGATGTCCCCCTGCCGGGGATTTTAAGATGTGCAGCCAGAGTAAATCCCTTCCCTGTAAAAACAAGTGCCTGACATCCTCACACTGAGTTACCACCTTCACACACTGGTTTGAAACAGAAGACTCAGTATTTCCAGGAACACCCCCACACCCCCATTCCTTAGGCAGCAGAGCTTGAGGAAAACATACTATGGAGTGTTATTAAGTTGCTGCAGCGCTGTCCTGAGCAGTTTATAGTGTTGAGCCTCTTGTCAGAAAGTGTCCAGAACTCACCTTTTCTTGGACCCGGGCGGGGCAGCCCCGGCACTTGTGGCCTTGCAGCCCCCGCTGTGCCCGGAGCCCTGGGGGGCTTTGCCCTCGGTCCCACACGACCCCCGCTCTCCACAGGGCACAGCTTTGCAGGCCGGGCTGGGCAGCGCAGCAGGAATCGGCCCCGTGGCCGTGCCAGGCACTCGTGGGCAGTGTCTCCATGGCCCGGGCTGGGCCGGGCACGAGGGGTGTCCCTCAGGGCTCTGCCTCGGCCCCGCGGCTCCTCAGGGCCTTGGGCAGGGACACGCAGTGGCACCAGCGCACCCTCAGCACGGGGCAGGGCACAGGCAGCTGAGCGGGGCAGGGCACACCCCGCGAGGACGGGGCCATCCACAGCCCCCTGCACAGGCTGCACAAGTGGCACCACCACAACCTCAGCAGCTTCCACAAGGCCAGGGGCCAGCTGCTGCCCCTGGCTCGGGGCAGTCCCAAGACTCACACAGTCATCAGGGAAGAGCCCTCCAGGATCCCCCCCTCCCACCCTCCCCCAGCACCACCACGCTCACCCCTAATCCCTGTCCCCAAGGGACACATGTCTGTGGGCACACCAGGCTGACTTTTATCACCCCTGGCTTCACACACAGCAGTAAAAAGCGGGGCCTGAGAAGCTGAAATGGGAGGAACAGCTTTAATTTTTGACAAGTCTCTGCTGGGGATCCAAACCCTCCCTGCAGAAAGACGTCCAGCTTGGCAGGGCTGAGACATTTCCTCGCTGCTCACACAGCAAGCCCTTCAATTCCAGGGAGCAGGGGGAGCCTGCAGAGGTTTGCCCTTTATCCCAGGCCCTCTTCCCTTGGTCCAGATGCCTCCCTGTCTTCTTCCCTGCTTCCCTCTCTTTCTGCCATGCCTTCCTTCCCTTCTTCTTTTCTTCTTCCCTTCTTCTCCTATTTCTCCTTCTTCATCTTGTCCTTCTTCTCCTTCTCCTTCTCTGTGGTGGGTTGACCTTATCTGGGCACCAGGTGCCCACCCAGCCGCTCTATCCCTCCCCTTCCCAGCCCGACAAGGGAGAGAGTAAGGTGGAAAACAACTCGTGGGTGGGGAGAAGGCAGTTTATTTAAAGCAAAAAGTAAAGCTGAGGGACTGGAGCACAAGTGCTGTGAGGAGAGGCTGAGGGAGCTGGGGGAGCTCAGCCTGGAGAAGAGGAGGCTCAGGGGAGACCTCCTCACTCTCTACAACTCCCTGACAGGAGGTCGTAGCCAGGGGGGGGTTGGTCTCTTTTCCCAGGCAACCATCAGCAAGACAAGAGGGATTTTCAGCTGTGCCAGGGGAGGTTTTGGTTGGATATTAGGAAGAATTTCTTTCCAGAGAGAGTGCTCAGCCATTGGAATGGGCTGCCCAGGGAAGGGGTGGATTCTCCATCCCTGGAGGTTTTTAAAAAGAAACTGGATGTGGCATCAGTGGAACTGATTCTGTGATTCTGTGATTCTATGATTCTTCTTCTCTTCCTTCTTCTCCTTCTTCTTCTCTTCCTTCTTCATTCTTCTTCTCTTCTTTCTTCTCTTCTTTCTTCTTTCTTCTTTCTTCTTTCTTCTTTCTTCTTTCTTCTTTCTTCTTCTTTCTTCTTTCTTCTTTCTTCTTTCTTCTTTCTTCTTTCTTCTTTCTTCTTTCTTCTTTCTTCTTTCTTCTTTCTTCTTTCTTCTTTCTTCTTTCTTCTTTCTTCTTTCTTCTTTCTTCTTTCTTCTTTCTTCTTTCTTCTTTCTTCTTCTTCTTTCTTCTTTCTTCTTTCTTCTTTCTTCTTTCTTCTTTCTTCTTTCTTCTTTCTTCTTTCTTCTTTCTTCTTCTCTTCCTTCTTCTTTCTTCTTCTCTTCCTTCTTCTTTCTTCTTCTTCTTCTCTTCCTTCTTCTTCTCTTCCTTCTTCTCTTCCTTCTTCTTCTCTTCTTTCTTAGAATCATAGAATCAGCTGGGTTGAGAGATCATCAAGTCCAACTCTTGATCCACTACCGCTGCGGTAGTGCCACATCCATCTTCTCTTCCTTCTTCTTCTCCTCCTCCTGCTCCTCCTCCTCCTTCTTCTTTTACTTCCTCTTTTCCTTTTTCTTCTCCTTCTCCTTTATCAAATCATCACTGTCCACTTCCTCAGGCACGTTACAATTTCTGAGTTAAGCAAAGGGGAGAGAAAAAACCACAATAGAAAGAGCTGAACATCAGCAGGGGATCAGCTCAGAGCTAAGAGCAGGCTGCAGCTGTTCCCTGGAATGTGGCATTCCCAGGGCTGTGCCTCAGGGCTCAGGGAGCAGAACCACTTCTGCACAACTGCTCCGTTCCCTCCGCCACCTTCCCACCCTTCCCACGCGCCTCGCACTGGACCCACGGCTGCTCTGGCTGCTTTCTGCCAGGGAGAAACCAGCACAGCTTGCCCATCAAAGGCTCCTGCTCAGCACTCGGGGGAAACCAACCACAGCCACAGCCTGGCAAGGCCTTTGCTCTCCCTGGCCTTGCCACTCCCTGCATCTCCTCACCTGGCACAGCCAAGGGACGTTCCTCCTTCTTCTTCCTCTGCAGCTCCTTCCCGTCATCACTCAGCTGCTCTCCCAGGGCTGCTCTGCTGAGTCAAAAAGGACAAGATTTTAAAAGACCACCTTAAATAAGACAGTTCTAGCAGAGAAAGAACCTTTACAAACTCCAGGGACAGAAGCAGTGGAGGAACACTCCGATATTTCTACTCGCACCACAGTGCAAAAACCACTCAAAAGGCTTTTTCTTGAATCTTCCTGTTTTTTGCTTTTTCTCTTAGAAAGCTTTACAAAAGCTTTTTGCTTTTACAAAGCTGTAGAGATGAGGAATTGTGTGAAGTCATGTCTGTCAGCCCAAACATTCCTGGAAATGCACGTTGGAGAACAAAGACTGAAATCCGGAGTGTTGGATTCCGAAATGCTGATCCTGGACAGGGCACACCCTGAAGGTGCCTCACCAGTTCAGCCCCAGTCGGGGAAGCAAAGAAAAGCCCAAACCCACCAGCCCAGCCAGCCCCTCGCCCCACGTTTGGCTGTTTCTGTCCCTCCCTGAACTGCAGGGTCAGGAGCACTGGGAGCCCAAGGACAACTCTGCTCCAGGGAGATTGCAAAGCCGGGCTCAGGGCAGGGCGGGCTCAAGTGTCCCCGCTGCTCAAAGGAACAGCCCAGTCTCAGCCAGGGGCATTTGGGGCTGGATTTGGTTCCTGCTCAGGGCTCCTGGTGCAGCTCAGTGAGCACCAGAGCTGGCACAGCCAGCAGGGACAGGGGAGGGAGAACAACCAGCCCCACGGGTGAGGGGCAGGTCAAGGCTGCCCCTTGTCAGGGGGTGGAATTCACCTCCCAGGAACAAAGGGCTGAGGAACCAAGTCAGTCCCTCCCTGCCCAGCTTCTTCCAATGCCTGCACCCCCCAGGGCTGCAGGACACCCGAGTGTGTGCAGAGAACTAGGCTGGCCCAGAGGGCTGGGATCCAGATCAGCTCTGAAGCCAAGCCATGGATTTGTGGGCCGGGCAAAGGAAGCAGCACAAGGGCAGAAAGGAGCAGCCATGCAGGGATGGGATCCCATCCCTCTTGTGGGGAGGCGAGAGGTGCAGGACACCTTACAGTGCTCAGGAAACGACGGCATCGGGTCCGTGTTTCTGTTCTGGGCTGGAAAGTTACCTTCTGAAAGCCTGGAGCACTCCTGGCAGAAAAACCTTTGGAGAAGCCCTTGCAAGTGTGGTATCCCTTTGCCCACATGACAAGTGTGGGGGAAGACAGCTGGGGGAAAACCAGAGAAAAGGGGGAAGTTACATTCCCATGGAAACAGAAGGTGGAACAGTAACTGAACTTACAGGGGGAAATGCAGTTGCTGCTTCCTGCATGGAATGTGGTCAGTACACAGGGAACATATTCCATGATGATTCCTCACACAACACATCACACTCTCCCATTGGGAAAGAACCTAAATCCATGTGTGCTGAAGGATTATCTCCAGTTTCAGTTTGCAAGTCAGTATCCTCAATTTCTAAACCCCCAGGAAAAGCAAGTGTTAGGGCTCATGGGAAGAGAGTGTCTCCTCCTCTACGGGCACATGGTCAAAGCAGCCCCAAAAGGAGCAGAGAGACAAACCTGATTGCTGGGACAGGAAGTGACAGGAACCAGCCTGGTCAGTCCCACTGACTGGTACGGATCTGTGGAATGGGAAAAACGTTCCTGTTTGCAGTTGGGAAGGGAAGAAAAAGGAAGGAGACAAACCCAGAGGGTCATCAAGCCTGACCAATTAGCATTCCCAAAGACAGGACCCAGACCCACACCTGCCCAGTCACACCAACTGGCTCAGGATCCAGCAAGTGCTGGAAATCAGGATTTTTCAACTGTCTGTGTCACACAGAGTGGAGGCCAGACCTTTGGAAACCAGCTGTGTTTTGGCTCTTTGTCCTCCCAGGATGATCTGTGTGCTCAGCTTCGGGTACCAAATACTGCAAAAGCCCACAAAACAGACCTGATTTTAAAACAACACCCACAAACCCTCCAGCTCCCAAACCCAAGGCCAATGGAAAAGCATCTCCTACGTCCTGGCAGGGAGTAGGCGCTTCCTGGGACAATGTGCTCCAGTGCCAACGAATTCCAGCTTCTCTCTAAGCAGGGAACTGCCACAGCTGCACTGTTTAAAGAGATGCAAAAGCATCAACATCCAAGTGCAGGCAAGAAAATGCTGGAAACAATCCCAGGGGGGCGAGTAGATCAGCAGGAGAAATACACACAAGTGTGGACTCACTTGCTGTGAACGGAACTGGTGGAATCCAAGCTTGTCCACGGGTACAGCTGCAGGCAGAGCAATCTTCTCTACTAAGGGGGTCTGTACACAATCTTCTCTACTAAAGGGGTCTGTACACAATCTTCTCTAATAATGGGGTCTGTACACTATCTTCTCTAATAAGGGGGTCTATACACTATCTTCTCCACTAAAGGGGAAAGAAACCTCTCTGCTACCTGGAGAAATAAAAGAGAGATCAGTCCAAACCCTACCGACTATGGCAGGAGAAACAGAAAAGGCACAGGATCATTTCCCACAATACCTTCTCTTATCAATACTCCAAAGGATTGGAGCCGAGTCTGTCTCTTCTCTTGGTTGCCAACTGAAAGTAAAGACAGTCACAACCATATGAATTCTCTTTCTCTCCACTAATGGGCACTCCAGAGAGGTTGCACAGTGCCTGGCAAGTTAAACGGGAAGGCTGAGAGAAAGGATCCAAGGAAATGAGGAGATCAAAGTTCCGTGACAAAGTTGTGTGGAAGTTTCCAGAGCATTTGTACGCTCTGGAGTCTCCCGTGAATTCTCCCTGCCCTTCAGAAATGTTGAGTTCCTGACCCAAAGGAGGGAATTCCATCAGACAAAAAGGAATGAGCTGAGCAGTAACAGAAGGAGGAGCTGGAATTCCTACAGAGAGGGGTTCTCCACCTTAGTATTTTGTGCAGCTGCTCCAAGTTCATCCCGTTGCCATCATCAGGGAATGTCAGGCTGATGTGGTCGTGGATGACTGTCCTGTCAGGCCAGACCTGCTCTGCACTCCCATCCGGGTCATGGCCTTGTCTGCAGGGAAAGAAGGGGAAAAGGCTGGGATATTTGAAGCAAAACCCAAACAGTTGAAGTGGGAACATAGTTTGAAGTGCTTCAGCTGCCAGAGAGTCCGTGTTCCACGCTGACTCCAGTCCCAATGTTACGATGAAGCAGCTGCCTCCCGACCCGGTGACCCTCCCCCAAAGCCAACAGCCAGTTCCACAGCTCTTGTGGGTTGATTGTTCTTACAGCCCCACAGAGGCAAACACTGTAGGTGGAGGCGAGTGGCTGAGGCGTGAGAATGGAAATGCAGCCAAGACAGGGCTCTGGTTTCCTTTGCTGCCCCCAAAGCAGCTGGTGCAATATTTACTTTCTCCCAGCCACGGGCTGGCTCTCCCCGAGGGAGCTCCAAAGTGCTTCAGACTCACCTTGCTCTGGACAGGATGGGAAAGAGCTGCTCCCAGTGCAACAGAAACCACGGCTGCACAAAGCTTGCCCAGCTGGGGAGGGTCCTTCCTAGGAACATGAAGTACCAATTGTATCCACAGGGACAACTTCATCCAAGGGATTGCAGCCTCAACAAAAGAGGGCATCCAGGTCCAGGTGACAGTTGGGAAAGGTTTGGGCTGTTCAAACAGCTGCACCCACTTACCATGTTGTCAGCCTGCAAAGGGTCAGTCCTTCCCACAGCCACGGGGCTCTGCTTCCCTCCTTGGTGGCAGCTCTGGCCTTCCCTGCAGGAAAAACTCCTGTTGGCTTTGGTTGGGTGAATTCTCTGGGCAAGGGAAGGGAAGCAAACATGACAAGCTCTTGCTCCACCAAGGTACCTGTGAGTTCTGCAAGTGCACTGAAGGGCCAGGGGTGACTGAGTGGTGCCCTCGGTCTGCGGGAACCTGGGGCAAAGCTGAAGGAAACCACAAACAAGGGCATCGGTTTGTGCTCTCCAAGCACACCCAGCCGGACACCAGGAGGCCAGAGAAAGGAACCCTAAAGGGAGCTGTTTTGTTCAGCACTACAAAAGGCCGTGGGGACCCCTGGTGGTCTAGTGGTCAGGATGCAGCACTCTCACTGCCGTGGCCCGGGTTTGATTCCTGGTCGGGGAAACTCCCCTGGGCAGATGGAGCTCATCAGCCCTGTAAAGCCATCCGTCTAAGAGAAGGTCACTCTAAACAAACCTACGTCCTGAGGACCTCACTGCCACTGTCCAAGCTTGCTCGGCCCCGGCAGATGAACCTCAGGATTAAAGGGTGGGCTCAGTTCAGAGCACACTGTGTCTCACCTAAAAAATCCATTGCGCAGGCTCGAAGGGTAAAGACCTTTCCCAAATCTTCGCTCACGAAGACTGGCCATACACTATACACACAAAAGGCCATAATTGAATTGATTTTCGATACTGGCACACTGGGACCTTGTCAAGGGACTGTTCCTACAGCTCTTGGAGGGGACATTCAGCACAGTCTCCTACCTTCCTCTGAGAATGGGTGACGCCGCCATCCTGTGCAAGGGGTCAGTCTGGTGTCCAGCGTGGATGCAGCTGGAGGGATGTCCAGGCTGCTGGGCTTGCTGGGGGTACCTTTGCAGGGACAGGGTTCCCCGCGGAAGGTGGCTTTCTCTCTTCTGTGCCAAAGAGTTCCCATGCACAGGCTGTTCTTTCAGACCTTTCTGGAAAGGGGTCTGAGGTCTGGGGGTCTCTGTGGCTCTCGATCCCCCTCCAGTCTGTGGCCACTTCTTGGCCTCGTTGCGGCGCCCGTGCTGTTCCGTGCTGTGCTGGTCTGCGGGAGATGTCGGTCCCGGCAAAGCGCTGCCCGCCCTGCGCTGTCTGGGCCGGGCCTGGCGCTGGAGCGGGGCCTAATGGTGCGGCTGTGCCGGCCTGCGGGGCCAGCGGAACAGCCTGTGCACAGCGCGGAGCGCGCGCCTCAACAGGGAGGGACGTTTCCCGGGGACAGCCCTGGGGGCTTCCCTGCCCTCTGCCCCTGGGGACACGGCCTGGGCTGCAACTGCTGGTTTCACGTCTGCAGCCGGGCTTTGTCCCAGCTTGTGCTGCTCCTGTGGCTGCTGGGGACACCTCTGCACCTCCAGCGCAGCCTTGCTCAGGACGTGCTGGATTAATTTCTGAACTGTGTCCCACAGATCTTGGCTGCCCTGGGAGGGGTTCCGGGACCCTGCTGGGGTGTAGGACTCATTGATGGATGAAGTGTCCACCTCCAGCACAGCCTTGCTCAGGATGTCGTCGATGAGGGGCTGGACTGTGTCCTGCAGAACTTGGCTGCCCTGGGAGGAGCTGCGGGACCTTGCTGGGGTCTGCTCCTCACTGGTGGATGGAGAAGTGTTTGCCTTTGGTTGCTTGGAAGAGAGAGGCCGCTGGGACTTGCTCGGGATGTAGAGAGAGCTGGGCCCCTCCAGGGGGTCGTCGTCGCTGTCCGGGCCCAAGGGTTTGTCATCGTGCCCTTGGGACAGCCCCTGGACTCTGTTGTCTTGCCCTTGAGAAAGCTCCTTGGCCTGGTCGTTCTCCCCCGGCCCTTGGCACGGCCGTTCCTCTTGGTCAGCTTTCTCTTGGGCGAGTCCTTGGCTCTTGGACTGCTCCCCCTGGGCCGGCTCTTGGGGCCTGTCCCTCTCCTGCTCTGGCTTTCTGGGGACTGGGCAGTATAGACTGCGGAGCAAAAACTCTTCAATCCAGTCGTCTCTGCCCTCGTACTTCTCCCTGTACTCCCGTTCCCTTTGCTCGGCTTTCTGTCGTGCCAGCTCTTCACCCTTCTGCCTCCTCTCTTCGTTGATGTTGTAATTGCAGGACAAATGGGCTTCCAGCCACTTCTCCACATACTTCTGCTTCCTCTGGTGTTCCCGTTCCGCTGCCTCGTCTCTTGGCTTGCGGAACCAGTTCCTTATTCTTTTCATTCCTCCAAACACGCCACTCCTGGGCCGCCTCTGTGGGTGCTCCAGCTGAGACTCCACGTCCGGCTCCTTCCCAGTCCCGTGGTGCTCCAGCCGTGACGTGTCAGTGGGGCCGCACGGGACAGGGTTTTCTTCTGCTGGGGACAGTGGTTTTAAAATGTCCTCTTCCTGTGGGGACAGTGGTTTTCCAGTGTCCTCTTCCTGTGGGGACAGAGGTTTTAAAATGTCCTCTTCCTGTGGGGACAGTGGTTTTCCAATGTCCTCTTCCAGTTGGGAGAGCTCTTGGACATTGGAGTCCCCTTCCGACTGGACATCTTCCCCTTGGGACACTTGTTTGCCAAGGCCATCTGTCCCTTGGCACAGCTCTTCGTCGTCTTCCTGCTGGGACTGTCCTTGGCTTGTAATGCCCCCCAGGAGCGGCGGGCCGGCTGCCGGGAGTGGGGCCTCTGTGGTGCCAGCACGGAGCAGGAGCCTCCTGTTCAGCTCCTGCAGCAGCTCCGTGTCCGAGACAAGGCTGAGGTCTGTGGCAGCACGGAGCAGGCCCCTCCTGTGCAGCTCCTGCAGCAGCTCCGTGTCTGAGACGAGGCTGAGCTCTGTGCCAGGCTGGTGCTGCAGCGGTGCCGTGCCGGGTTGGCTGTGCTGGCTGGCAGGAGCGGCCGAGGGAGCTGCCGGCAGAGGAAGAGGCTCCCAGCTGGCGTCGGCAGCGAGCGCGGGCCGGGCTGGGGCCTCCTGTGCCCCCGTGCTGGGGGGCAAGAGCAGCCCGGGCACGGGGCTCTCGGGCCGTGGGGGCAGCCGGGGAGAGGGGCTGCGGGCCCGTGGCCCCGTGTGCCCTGCGCTGCCCAGCTCTGTGCCCCGGCTCACGGTGTCCCTGGGGCTCTCTGGGCAGGGCAGAGCTGGCACTGGGGGCTGCCGTGGCACTGGTGGTAGCGGTGGCTGCTGGGGTAGTGGTGGCAGCCGTGGCAGCTGAGGCACCTGTGCCAGTGCTGGCAGCTGTGGCAGCTTGGGCAGTGGTGGCAGTGGCGGCTGTGGCTGCGGTGGAACCAGTGGCAGTGCTGTCAGTGGTGGCAGTTGTTGCTTCCTTGTCTGCCATGGCAGTGGTGGCAGCCATGGCTTATCCATCTCCATCTTCCTGCTTTTGTCCCTCTCCATCTTCCTGTTCTCGTCCCTCTCCATCTTCCTTTCCTCCTCAGAAATCTCCATCTTCCTTGTCTCCTGTGGCTGCCGTGGCAGCCGTGTCAGTGGTGGCAGCGTTGGCTGCCGTGGCAGTGCTGCCAGTGGTGGCAGCGATGACAGTGGTGGCTGCCTTGGCTGCCCTGGCAGTGGTGGCAGCAGTGGCAGCGATGACTGTCTTGGCAGTGGTGGCAGCGATGGCAGTGTTGGCTGCCTTGGCTGTCGTTCCAGTGGTGGCAGCAGTGGCAGCAGTGACATTGTTGGCTGCCTTGGCTGCCCTGGCTGTCGTGCCGGTGGTGACACTCGTGGCCGCAGTGGCAGCAGTCGCTGCCTTGGCTGAGATGGCAGCGTTGGCTCCCTGTCCCTCACCCTGGGCAGGCTCGGAGTTTGCCCCTGGCTGGGCTGGGAGTTGCGCTTGTCCATCTCTGTCTTCTTCTCCTTCTAAAACTTCTCTCGTCCTCTGTGGCAGAGAGATCCCTGGAGCTGCTTCCTCCTGCGAGAGAGGCTCTCCTGGGAGTGGGCACCCCCGGGCTCTGTACCCCTCAAACACCCGTGGGCAGGGCAGGGCTCTGTGATGTCACAAGGGTCTCCGGGCACCCCTGTGTCCCGTGTCACAAAGGGCCCTGGAAGGTGCCCGTGTCACAAAGGGCCACCCCGGCCCCCCTTGGACAGCGGCACCGCCCGGACCCGGCCCGGGGCCGCCCCAGCACTTGTGGCCTTGCAGCCCCCGCTGTGCCCGGAGCCCTGGGGGGCTTTGCCCTCGGTCCCACACGACCCCCGCTCTCCACAGGGCACAGCTTCGCAGGCCGGGCTGGGCGGCGCAGCAGGAATCGGCCCCGTGGCCGTGCCAGGCACTCGTGGGCAGTGTCTCCATGGCCCGGGCTGGGCCGGGCACGAGGGGTGTCCCTCAGGGCTCTGCCTCGGCCCCGCGGCTCCTCAGGGCCTTGGGCAGGGACACGCAGTGGCACCAGCGCACCCTCAGCACGGGGCAGGGCACAGGCAGCTGAGCGGGGCAGGGCACACCCCGCGAGGACGGGGCCATCCACAGCCCCCTGCACAGGCTGCACAAGTGGCACCACCACAACCTCAGCAGCTTCCACAAGGCCAGGGGCCAGCTGCTGCCCCTGGCTCGGGGCAGTCCCAAGACTCACACAGTCATCAGGGAAGAGCCCTCCAGGATCCCCCAGTCCCACCCTCCCCCAGCACCACCACGCTCACCCCTAATCCCTGTCCCCAAGGGACACATGTCTGTGGGCACACCAGGCTGACTTTTATCACCCCTGGCTTCACACACAGCAGTAAAAAGCGGGACCTGAGAAGCTGAAATGGGAGGAACAGCTTTAATTTTTGACAAGTCTCTGCTGGGGATCCAAACCCTCCCTGCAGAAAGACGTCCAGCTTGGCAGGGCTGAGACATTTCCTCGCTGCTCACACAGCAAGCCCTTCAATTCCAGGGAGCAGGGGGAGCCTGCAGAGGTTTGCCCTGTATCCCAGGCCCTCTTCCCTTGGTCCAGATGCCTCCCTCTCTTCTTCCCTGCTTCCCTCTCTTTCTGCCATGCCTTCCTTCCCTTCTTCTTTTCTTCTTCCCTTCTTCTCCTATTTCTCCTTCTTCATCTTGTCCTTCTTCTCCTTCTCCTTCTCTGTGGTGGGTTGACCTTATCTGGGCACCAGGTGCCCACCCAGCCGCTCTATCCCTCCCCTTCCCAGCCCGACAAGGGAGAGAGTAAGGTGGAAAACAACTCGTGGGTGGGGAGAAGGCAGTTTATTTAAAGCAAAAAGTAAAGCTGAGGGACTGGAGCACAAGTGCTGTGAGGAGAGGCTGAGGGAGCTGGGGGAGCTCAGCCTGGAGAAGAGGAGGCTCAGGGGAGACCTCCTCACTCTCTACAACTCCCTGACAGGAGGTCGTAGCCAGGGGGGGGTTGGTCTCTTTTCCCAGGCAACCATCAGCAAGACAAGAGGGCTGGGTCTTCAGCTGTGCCAGGGGAGGTTTAGGTTGGAGATTAGAAAGAATTTCTTTGCAGAGAGAGTGCTCAGCCATTGGAATGGGCTGCCCAGGGAAGGGGTGGATTCTCCGTCCCTGGAGGTTTTTAAAAAGAAACTGGATGTGGCATCAGTGGAACTGATTCTGTGATTCTGTGATTCTATGATTCTTCTTCTCTTCCTTCTTCTCCTTCTTCTTATCTTCCTTCTTCATTCTTCTTCTCTTCTTTCTTCTTCTCTTCTTTCTTCTTTCTTCTTTCTTCTTTCTTCTTTCTTCTTTCTTCTTTCTTCTTTCTTCTTTCTTCTTCTCTTCTTCTTTCTTCTTTCTTCTTTCTTCTTTCTTCTTTCTTCTTTCTTCTTTCTTCTTTCTTCTTTCTTCTTCTTTCTTCTTTCTTCTTTCTTCTTTCTTCTTTCTTCTTTCTTCTTTCTTCTTTCTTCTTTCTTCTTTCTTCTTCTCTTCCTTCTTCTTTCTTCTTCTCTTCCTTCTTCTTTCTTCTTCTTCTTCTCTTCCTTCTTCTTCTCTTCCTTCTTCTCTTCCTTCTTCTTCTCTTCTTTCTTAGAATCATAGAATCAGCTGGGTTGAGAGATCATCAAGTCCAACTCTTGATCCACTACCGCTGCGGTAGTGCCACATCCATCTTCTCTTCCTTCTTCTTCTCCTCCTCCTGCTCCTCCTCCTCCTTCTTCTTTTACTTCCTCTTTTCCTTTTTCTTCTCCTTCTCCTTTATCAAATCATCACTGTCCACTTCCTCAGGCACGTTACAATTTCTGAGTTAAGCAAAGGGGAGAGAAAAAACCACAATAGAAAGAGCTGAACATCAGCAGGGGATCAGCTCAGAGCTAAGAGCAGGCTGCAGCTGTTCCCTGGAATGTGGCATTCCCAGGGCTGTGCCTCAGGGCTCAGGGAGCAGAACCACTTCTGCACAACTGCTCCGTTCCCTCCGCCACCTTCCCACCCTTCCCACGCGCCTCGCACTGGACCCACGGCTGCTCTGGCTGCTTTCTGCCAGGGAGAAACCAGCACAGCTTGCCCATCAAAGGCTCCTGCTCAGCACTCGGGGGAAACCAACCACAGCCACAGCCTGGCAAGGCCTTTGCTCTCCCTGGCCTTGCCACTCCCTGCATCTCCTCACCTGGCACAGCCAAGGGACGTTCCTCCTTCTTCTTCCTCTGCAGCTCGTTCCCGTCATCACTCAGCTGCTCTCCCAGGGCTGCTCTGCTGAGTCAAAAAGGACAAGATTTTAAAAGACCACCTTAAATAAGACAGTTCTAGCAGAGAAAGAACCTTTACAAACTCCAGGGACAGAAGCAGTGGAGGAACACTCCGATATTTCTACTCGCACCACAGTGCAAAAACCACTCAAAAGGCTTTTTCTTGAATCTTCCTGTTTTTTGCTTTTTCTCTTAGAAAGCTTTACAAAAGCTTTTTGCTTTTACAAAGCTGTAGAGATGAGGAATTGTGTGAAGCCATGTCTGTCAGCCCAAACATTCCTGGAAATGCACGTTGGAGAACAAAGACTGAAATCCGGAGTGTTGGATTCCGAAATGCTGATCCTGGACAGGGCACACCCTGAAGGTGCCTCACCAGTTCAGCCCCAGTTGGGGAAGCAAAGAAAAGCCCAAACCCACCAGCCCAGCCAGCCCCTTGCCCCACGTTTGGCTGTTTCTGTCCCTCCCTGAACTGCAGGGTCAGGAGCACTGGGAGCCCAAGGACAACTCTGCTCCAGGGAGATTGCAAAGCTGGGCTCAGGGCAGGGCGGGCTCAAGTGTCCCCGCTGCTCAAAGGAACAGCCCAGTCTCAGCCAGGGGCATTTGGGGCTGGATTTGGTTCTTGCTCAGGGCTCCTGGTGCAGCTCAGTGAGCACCAGAGCTGGCACAGCCAGCAGGGACAGGGGAGGGAGAACAACCAGCCCCACGGGTGAGGGGCAGGTCAAGGCTGCCCCTTGTCAGGGGGTGGAATTCACCTCCCAGGAACAAAGGGCTGAGGAACCGAGTCAGTCCCTCCCTGCCCGGCTTCTTCCAACGCCTGCACCCCCCAGGGCTGCAGGACACCAGAGTGTGTGCAGAGAACTAGGCTGGCCCAGAGGGCTGGGATCCAGATCAGCTCTGAAGCCAAGCCATGGATTTGTGGGCCGGGCAAAGGAAGCAGCACAAGGGCAGAAAGGAGCAGCCATGCAGGGATGGGATCCCATCCCTCTTGTGGGGAGGCAAGAGGTGCAGGACACCTTACAGTGCTCAGGAAACGACGGCATCAGGTCCGTGTTTCTGTTCTGGGCTGGAAAGTTACCTTCTGAAAGCCTGGAGCACTCCTGGCAGAAAAACCTTTGGAGAAGCCCTTGCAAGTGTGGTATCCCTTTGCCCACATGACAAGTGTGGGGGAAGACAGCTGGGGGAAAACCAGAGAAAAGGGGGAAGTTACATTCCCATGGAAACAGAAGGTGGAACAGTAACTGAACTTACAGGGGGAAATGCAGTTGCTGCTTCCTGCATGGAATGTGGTCAGTACACAGGGAACATATTCCATGATGATTCCTCACACAACACATCACACTCTCCCATTGGGAAAGAACCTAAATCCATGTGTGCTGAAGGATTATCTCCAGTTTCAGTTTGCAAGTCAGTATCCTCAATTTCTAAACCCCCAGGAAAAGCAAGTGTTAGGGCTCATGGGAAGAGAGTGTCTCCTCCTCTACGGGCACATGGTCAAAGCAGCCCCAAAAGGAGCAGAGAGACAAACCTGATTGCTGGGACAGGAAGTGACAGGAACCAGCCTGGTCAGTCCCACTGACTGGTACGGATCTGTGGAATGGGAAAAACGTTCCTGTTTGCAGTTGGGAAGGGAAGAAAAAGGAAGGAGACAAACCCAGAGGGTCATCAAGCCTGACCAATTAGCATTCCCAAAGACAGGACCCAGACCCACACCTGCCCAGTCACACCAACTGGCTCAGGATCCAGCAAGTGCTGGAAATCAGGATTTTTCAACTGTCTGTGTCACACAGAGTGGAGGCCAGACCTTTGGAAACCAGCTGTGTTTTGGCTCTTTGTCCTCCCAGGATGATCTGTGTGCTCAGCTTCGGGTACCAAATACTGCAAAAGCCCACAAAACAGACCTGATTTTAA